GTTTTTTGTCGTTCCTTGCCAATTTGCGGCTAGTTTCACCGGTGGGCAGGGATTCGGCGCAGCGGAAGTTGGCGAAGAACCGGGGTCTGAGTGGTGCAACAATAGGTTTCGTTTGAAATCCTTCATTGCATGTTTAAAATGCAACGATATGGCACTTACTTACTTGCCCGCGGGTACTCGCGATGCGCTTACCCCAGGTGGGTTTACAGTCGAAATTTGTCTTTTTACACAGTTTTGCCATTGAAGAGAATACTACAGAATTAATTAGTGAGCACTATGTCTCGTCTCAGCGCGAAATTCACGGACGGACAAGTACCTAGTAGTAGAGCAAGTGGATCTCATAGGATCGGCCTCAGTGGAAATAATTTCGGTGGAGCAACGGTGAGGTCGATTACAAGGTTGAAACCACTGAATCAGGGAAGGGTGATGAAGTATGAAACCGCACAGTCGCTCCAGGGCAGGTTGGTAGGCGGGGCAGTCGCCAGATTGTCGAAGAAAGTCGAAGACAAGTCGAAGCAAAAAAGGCCCGGGTAATGCCCGATCACGGCGATCGCCGTCGGCCCAGCCATAATGGAACATCAGGAACCCTATAAGATCAAGATAAGAGGGTAAAAAAGTTGCGCACTGATATCCAGTGCTTTGAGAATTAGTGCCCTGAAGGCACTAATTTGTAGTGCGCAGAAAAGCACTTATTCCCAAAATACTACATATCAGTGCCAAAATTGGGAAATTAGTGCTTGGGCACTAATATTTAGTACTTTTACTTTTTACAGTGTCACTTGTCCTCCTCCTTTCAGCCGTGGACTCCCTAGCCCAAGCCAATCAAGATACTCAAGGATCTCGGGTGCCGTCCGCCGGGCCTTCCTACTCCCTCCGTGGCGTCACAGTCATCAGCGGTGCGACCGCAGCCAATCGTCCGACATAACACAAGCAGCAACGGTGGCCATCAACGGCCCATGCCCGTCCACGGCCAATGCCCATCCACGGCCCTGACTCGCGTTGCTCGTCGCACACCACACATGCTCTGACTCCCGGCTCTCCCACGCTCACGCACTCCACGTCGCCCACGTCGCTGCTCTTACACCGCTCCCGCCAGCCTCCGAGTACCGTCAAGAGCAGTTTCCTGCCATCAAGATTCCGATGCAAATCTTTCCCCTTTCAAGTCCAATGCAGCTTTTCGCACATCTAGTTTCACCTCAAACCCTGCTATGCCTCGTGCGCGCCAAGACTTTGTCAAGCTCATCCCCCAAGACTTCGTCAAGCTCATTCCCCATCAATCCGTCGACGTTTGGTGGAGCTTTCAAGCTTCAAGACGTCCTCAAGCCCTGCAACATGATCAACAGCGTACATCGTTCCTTCACAATTCGGCAAGTCCGTGACAAAATTCTTGCCCCGGGTTGTGGATAACTACTCCGTAGACAGTCTGTACTTGTACTTCTTAATATATTGTTTTCGATAATTTCTGCTTGATCTTGAGTGGTGAAAATGAGCAGTAATGGCGAGATAATAGTGCCCTAATGTCGCATAAGTTTGGTCAAACTTATGTAATTGGTAGGAGGTAACTTATTTGGGTCAAGTTTGGCTAAACCGGTCTAACGAGGATAATTTCAGGAAATTACCCGAAGTTTGGGTAAAGTTTTGGCAAATTAGCAGGGTAGGCTTTTCCTGATGTAGTATGCCGGTGATTTCTATCAGAACCTTGAAAGCACAAGCAAATTACAAGCAAAGCGAGAATAAAACGAACGCGCGTCGACGCAAGCATGGCTCGGCCCCGAATCGAACGGGTGACTCCTGCGTAAATCAACCAAGGTCGTATGTATTCAAAGCAGGCGCGGACTCCGCAACCGAGCCGGTGCAGAGGAGACTAGTAACGTGACAACCTAGGTTCGTTGAGCCGTTTACATTCATGATACACTCTGCTCTTCCTTTCCAGAGCGGTGAATCCAAGCCTCAGAGTAGTTACTTAGGACGGCACTGCCCTTTGGAACTCGATCTGAGTTGAATGTCGTACAGGACCGTTTAAAGGTGCAATGGCGCGAAAGACAGCACAAGCAAACCGAGAATGAAATGAGGCAACCCAGCCTACGGCTCGGCCCGGTGTTTCCTGCTTGAACCATGATGTTGCTCCAAGGCTATGGACCTCCCGAAGACAAAAAAAAATTATGTTCCAGAAAAGTATCCGGCTCAATCCAGACTACATACATATCAGGTTCCAGGACATGGACCTCCCGCTACGAGCAACATGAAAGGCAACACAATCTTGATGCGGCACAAAAAAAATTGCAGGTGGCCGCTGTATGGCTCGGACCCGGATCGAACGGATGACTCCTGCGTGAAAGTCCTCTGCAGGCTTTGTAGGAAACGCGACACGGACCTCCCTCCCGCGACCGAGCCGGTGCATGGGTCTGGGTTGATGTGCATGAGCTATTCAGACATCATCGTTGTCAAAGTCAAGCATCCAAGATGAAGTCAAGTCCTCGTGGAGTACGACTCACTCCCGTAAATCGGAGTCAGTAAATCGGAGTCAGTAAATCGGATTGTCGTTCTGTACGTAACTCACTCTCACAACATTGGTCTTCGAACCTACAGAAAGGATTCCGGGAGAGCCGGCGGTTCGACTCCACCCGAGGCCATATGGAAACTGTTGGGCAATTTTTTTTTTGCACTCGCGGATCGCTCGGAGTCATTCAAGTAGAGCGTACGGTTATTTGCAGGCGTGGCACAAGTTGGTTAAAAAGACCGACCGGGACATGGAGAAGATCAAAATATCAGCGACCGTAGAGGGTCAAAGCGAGGAGGGGGATACATTGAGTACTCACCACTGCAACAGTCCTTTAGTTGATACTCTCACAAATACCAGAGCAGATGGTCCAATAGTAACTGGATCGACCTTGGCAGCGGGCGAGAGAACACAGTTTACGAGGCGGTTGAGTGCGCTTGGAAGCGGCGTGCTCGTTCAAGACACGTTTGTCGCAGATTCCAGATGACGATGGTACCAGCGAGGATCGGCGTCGAGTTCGGATTGCTGCACATGAAATGGTCTTCAACGTTAACGAGTCTGTATCCGTCGGCGAGCGCATAGTCGCCAAACGAATCCGTGGCGCCTACGACTGAGTGCGCAGTGAGCTCTGGAGACCAAGTGCTTGATCCGCGGGCGATAGGTGTCGCAGAGGGCGAGAGGTGAAAGCTAGCGGCGAGGGAGCAGCACTGAGCATGACGACGAGATAGGAGTATGACGAGAAGAAGATTAATCTCGTCCCCAGATGTTATAGGGCCTTCGCTCACCGCTCGCTGCGCTCCCGGGCCGGACATCCAAATCGGGATGTGTAGATGTTGAGGAGGTCAATTGATTGATGAGATTTGTGTGGGGGAGCGGGCCCTATAACATCTGGTGTATCTCGCTTGAGAACCATGCGCCTGCTTATCTTGTCACAGCCGTCACGTACCGCTCTTTGGCCTGGATCTCAACGACATAGATGCATTGAATGCCTATGAATTCAGATCTAACCCAAAATGAGGTCTCAAATGCAATGGGCCCCAACAACTGGGAAGAAACCCGTCGAAAGTGAGCGATTTGAAGAACACAGTCGCATGGTTCTCAAGCGAGATGCACCAGACGTTATAGGGCAGTGCTCCCCAACCGAATCTCATCAATCAATTCACCTCCTCAACATCTCGACATCCCCGATTTGGATTGCCCGCCAGCGCAGCGAGCGACTGTCCTATAACGTCGGGAACGAGACTAGAAGAAGATACGTCCGGGACAGTCTCGCAAGCAGCCAAGCAGCCGAGGTATCCATGTGCCACTCAGTATGGGGTACACGCGAAATCTTGGAATCTCTTGGATCGGCGGCAGAACGACGGATTGGGGAGGAATCGACGCGTCCGGAAACTCAGACTACGCCGCCAATGGGGACTGTCTACGCAAAAGAGCGCATCCACCAAGCCACTGCAAGGGAAGTTTCTGCACCAGACAATCGCCCAGTCGACAATGTCGACCTCCAGGAAGCTCTCTGTCGGCGATTAGGCGCATCTGAGGCCTGTGGAGGATACACAACGCACGGATATCGCACCTTGCACAGAAATCTCCCATCCGATCCCGCTCTTTCACTCCAACCGCAATATTCTTCCGCCCCACTCCAAAGACCGAATCTGTAAGACGACTCTCTTGCATTCCTATCGGAACACTTCTAGGGACATGTATGACAGGGTACAAGTCCCGTTGGGCGCTGCTGGAGGAGGGAAAGCAGAAAGGGTCCAGTCGAGGATTTCTCGACATGTGGTTTGGGTCAAGCGCGTTTGACTCAGATGCGCCATCAGACGCTGACCAAGCACGTCTTTTCTCCTGCTTTCATGTCGATTTCTCGGGATTTGTTCCTCAGCGCCTATCTGCTGCCCCATAATTGTCTTGTCTCACCAATACGTGTGGATTGCACTCCCCGGAACTTCATTATCAAGTTCAAAACAAGTTTCAAAACAACGCAGGAATCAATCGACTCCTCAAGTTGCTCGACTCTCCTTCCGTCGCGGCGCACTCGCGTTGTGGAATCAAGTCACTACGCAGGATCAAACCGCAAATGATAAAGCGGACTCAATTCCTTTGCCGCATGGATTCTGTTGATTATTTGCCCGTCCCAATCGTCTACATCCTCAGCGCTTACTTGAACGCTCCTCAAGTCGTCCCTGCTGCTCACTCAGCACAACGTCGGACTAGCTAGTAGCTCTGCTAGGCATACTTCCCGACTTCATGGCGGTTTTTTTTTTTTGGCAGCCTTGGTGCTGCCCGTCCTCCAACCGTGTCTAACGTCGAGTCTCAACAAAAAAAGATCCACTTGCAACAAATCTGACTACCTCTGCGGGCTCCTGCATATCCCACATCCCTCGAGTAATATCAAACCGACCCGAGCCTACGATACACCATTTTATTGAACAAAAAATGGAATAGGAGCACGATCCCAGACGTGCGCATCCTCAATAAAAAGCAACATCCCGCAATCACATGGCTCGGACCCGAGTCGAACGGGCGACGCCTGCGGAATTCTGTTGAGCATACCAAATGCCAACGCAGAGCAGGTGCGGACCCTCCGCAACCGAGCCGGTGAACACCCAACTCACACCCTAGGTTCGTGCTTGACTTCGATCGCGCGGATTGCCGGTTTCACCCGGACATGCTAGGACAAGCAAGGGGAAAAGTAATGCCGAGACAAGTCTCAATGGCTCAGCCCCGAATCGAACGGGCGACTCCTGCGTAAATAAACCAAGGACGCATGTATTCAAAGCAGGCGCGGACCCTCCGCAACCAAGCCGGTACATGGCAGACTGGTACCCTGGGTTCGTCCAGCTGTTTGACATTCGTCGTTTAAGAGCTACCATTCTCCTAGGCCTCTCTGCGAAAGCATCGAATAGCCCGGAAACAGCGTATGCCGCGCGGGTGATTCTTGTCCGAACCTTGACAGCACAAGCAAAACAAGAACGAAAAGAACGCGGGTCGGACGCCAGCATGGCTCGGCCCCGAATCGAACGGGCGACTCCTGCTTCAAACGGGTCTCCGTCTACCAGACGAAGCACAGGTGCGGACCATCCGCAACCGAGCCGATGCAAACCCAAATCGTTATCCAGGTGCATGGTTCATTTTCTGAAGTCTCGTCGAAAATGCATCTCATGTTCCACATTCTCTAGGGAATCGATATTCATTTTGGCTAGACGCATACCGAAGTCACTGTCAAAAGGAAATAACGCGAAACGCGACTCGCAAAAAATGACTTTCTCTCTGTACTCCTCGGACCCGAATCGAACGGGCGATTCCTGCGCAAACCTATATGGGACTGGTCTACGAAGCGCAGCTGCGGGCCTCCCGCGACCGAGCCGGTACAGGGCAGACTGGCAACCTGGGTTCGTGGACTTGTCTTACACTCGTTATTTATGATTTGCGAGTTACCATTATCTTCTTTGCCATTATTGCATCGAATCGCGCGGAAACACCGGCCATTTTTTGTCGGAACCTTGACAGCACAAGCAAAGCAAGAATAAAACGAACGCGCGTCGACGCAAGCATGGCTCGGCCCCGAATCGAACGGGCGACTCCTGCTTATCATAATATGCTGGTCAGACGAAGCAGGTGCGGACCATCCGCAACCGAGCCGATGCAAACCCAACTCGTTATCTAGATGTGTATGTTCGTTGTCTGGAGTCTCGTCAAATATCAGATATCCATGAGGCGCTCGGCTCAGGTTGCACATTCTTTAGGGAATTAACATCATTTTGGCTGGACTCATACCTCAGTCGGTGTTGAAAAGTGAGCGACGGGAAACAAGACTCGAATAAAATGAATCTTGTCCCGGAGGCAAACGAGATACGACTCGGAACCGAATCGAACGGGTGACTCCTGCTTGATCCTCTTTTTTGCCCTCAAGAACAATGTTCATGAGGCTCAGCCCCTGTCGCGTGTGCAGGCCAGTATAGATCTCCCTAGTCAATTCGAGATCGTGGTTGCACACGACCGGCATGGAGACCTACGAGAAAAATAGAACAGCAAACGACTATGGCTCGCCCCAAATCGAACAGGCGATTCCTGCGTAAAGTGCTTACGCAGCAGAATTTTACGAACTGCAGGTACGGACCATCTGCAACCGAGCCAATGCAACCGCAACTCGCTATCTACGTACCTATTTTCATTTTCTGGGTCTCTTCAAATATTTCCTCAGCTCACTGGTGCATCCAGAGAGAACCCTTTGTGACTGTGATCGATCCGAACTTCCTCGCTGTTCAAAATTTAACAGCGAGAAACAAGACTCGAACAAGATGAATATTCTTCCAAACGCAAAGGAGATGCGACTCGGACCCGAATCGAATGGGCGAATCCTGTTTGGGGAGATTTACTTACCATTTACGGCGCAGGTGGGGCCAAAAATCATAGAGTACTGCTGCGTATGGCTCAGCCCCGAATCGAACGGGCGACTCCTGCGTAAATGAACCAAGGACGGATGTATTCAAAGCAGGTGCGGACCCTCCGCAACCAAGCCGGTGCAGAGGAGCCTAGTAACCTGGCAACCTGAGTCCAGGCACTGGGAGATTGCGCAAGCCGTGGGTTTCCGTCAATCCAACTTACATGTAAACAAAATAACGGGAAAAGGGCAACCGCGCACAAAGTGAATCGTCTCGGACCCGAATCAAACGGGTGATTCCTGCGTAACCAAGTTTTCACTGTCGCCCTACGAAGCGCAGGAGCGGACCACCCGCGACCGAACCGGTGCGTGGGTATGTTCCTCGACGATTGATTTCGCTAGGAAACCACCCAACATGCAGCGTTTGTATCACCCAATCTGAAAGCGGATGCGCATTGAGGTTCGGATTCCCATTGCATAGCCAGCCCACAGGAGGCCGACCCTGAGAGGCAGATTTCGGGAGCTCAGGATTGCCACGTCGCGATGCCAGCAATCATCAGTAACCAACCAGTACCCCTTTCGGTCTTGGTTCAAAAAACTCGGACCGGCTGCCGTCGCTCGACCGCTGGAATTGCGAAATATTTCCTGGCAGTTGAAAAAAATTGGCTTCGGGCTTCCAGTCCGCGAGAGGTTGCGGAATGTTTGTCCTCAAGTCTGGATATGCTTTAGCACAGAAGGTTGAGTCCTTCACCAGAGAGGAGCTCCTGAACCTGAAGATCTCACGCCCTTCGATCCGATAATTGCAGGTTGAACGTCGATCCTCGGCTATGACAAATGTCGAACAGGTTCTCCCGCTCTGTTCCCCCTCCTATCGGAATTCAGACCCGATCCGCGGTATGTGCTGGCCGTCTCCGCCGTCTCCGTGCTTTGCCACCATCTGTTACCCACCACCATGAGCGCCAACGCCGTGGTTATTTGCCCGTACCACGGCGGCGCGCTGCACCTCGCCAACGACCTCGTCGAATGGGACGGCGTGTCTTCAATCGACAGCCGCTGCGTTCTTCTGCTCCAGTACTGGGCATCGCAGGCCGTCAGCGCGTCGGAGACGCTTAGTGTGATTTTTTTTTTGGATACTCCGGGTGCAGCCTACCCACTTATTAAACTCATAGGTTCAGACTAGTACCAACGATCCGCCGGATAGATCTGAAGTAACAGCCGTGCGTTTCCAAATATTGTGAGACCGAATCCTTGTAGATCTCTGTGTTTACTAGCCCGTCTCCACCACGATTTGTAGTCCAGATATAGCGAAGGAAGAGAGGGTCCCCCATGTGCGTGGCCCCAATAGCCATGCATCCTCTCATGTCCGCTGACTAGGTACAGGAGACCGCCGCTGATACCGCTACACGCGCGACTGCCAATGTGGACAGTTCGTCCATATCATTGGACCTTAACGGAGTCTCGCCGGTGGACTCCCTCGCTGTCGCCCTCGCGCTAGATATGGATATCGACCCCGCTGCGCTCGCGCCGCCTGACCTCGTTCGTGTTGTCCGCTCAACGTTGAGCTGCTCGCGGTTTTATGGTTGAGGGGCGTTTTGCGGAAGACTCACTAGTAATGAGTTGGTGCACTATGTAGTTATTTGGATAATTAATGGCTGGAAAATGTCGATTCCACTTACATTCTGCTGCAAGGCACGCCAGACAATGAATATCAGAGGTGAGACAAGTCGCAGGGAAGTGAACAACTGTGTCTGTTGTGGCTCTCGAGGCTCGAGAGTCCAGTCTTGAGTTGGACCAAACTTGGACTTGACTTGGTCGGACTGTGTTGGGACTTTACTTGAAATCATCTTTGAAAAGACTATCACAAGACCATGGAGTCGGGCAATAAGAGTAAGAGAAAGAATCTGGAAAGAATTTGGAAAGAATTGCAACTTGAACTTGAACGCGGGAAAATAGCAAACTTGCCCAAACAATGCCCAAAAAAGACCGCGGTCCGCCACGGCCCGCCAGCCGACACTTGGCGGGAACCACCACGACCAAACCACGGCCCAGAAAAGTGAGCGCATCTTTGCATTCGACGCGTTTTGGTGCTCTGCGGATGGAAGCTGACGCGTCTTGTCAGCGGTAAACTACGCTGCCCGCGTCGCTCCAGCGGAACACTGCATCAACGGGGACTGCCATTGATTTGCCACGTTATACGCCTTGCTCTCTGCAATACCGACTTGTCTTCTTGGAACTGGTCATAATGGCTATTGAACTTGACTCCTCGCCTCCGGCCTCATCCCGTTGGAAATCTACTACTGCACGAGCGTTTATTGTGGTCTCCTTGGGCTTGACGCTGGCGTGGTGGTGGCGCTTATCTTCTGCTGTTCCCCCTCGCGCCCCCTCCAGCAGCCCCGACAACTCAGACAGCACCAGAGCGCAGCTTCTTCATCTCATTCTCGACGTCAACGCTGCACAAAGCGCCGTATACGCCGCCAAGGATGACCAGGGACACACAATGGACACGGCAAAAATCATCCAAGCGCCCGAGGGTGATTATTTTGCCGTTTACCACACCATGCGCGCGGACGGCCGCTTCCACTCCTGTATCGCGACCTCGACCGATCTCGCCAGCTTCCGCTTCATCGCAGACTTTGGCGCGGGCAGCAGCCAGCCGACCATCTTCTCCGTGGGTGACGGTAGCTACGTGGTTGCCTGGGAGCAAGACCCCGCAAACCACATCGCCGTGCGCTATTTCCCCGATCGGATGCACCTCCTCGCGGCGACGCCTACGCGCGCCTTCGACACGCCCATGACGCTCTCTGCTTGCGCAGAAGGCACGCCGAGCATCCATTCCGTGACGCTCAGCCCCGACATCGACCACTCGTCCATTGATATCGGTGGGCACTATTACCGCGACTGCGCCGTCGACCGCCAGCAGCGTGGGATCCTCACGAACTTCACGCACTGGGTGACCACCCCCCTTCCGGAGGTCGACAACGCACTCCTGCACTGGGGCGTCCGAGGCAACATCGGCGGCCGTGACCCTATCGTTTTCGACCAGTTTACCTTTCAGTTGATGGAGGGCGCGTACGCGCACGGCGATTTCGGGTCATTCCGCACGTTCCTGTACGACTTTACGACGGGGAATGCGGAGAGGGTGAATGTTACCACCAAGGCGGGGAGTACGGCGTTTGCGAATCCGTCGATCAGCCGCGTCCTGTCGCCGCGGGG